AATTTTTAGTTTGGCAGTGGCGACATCTCTCGAGGGAATTTTGATGAACGTTAAACAGGAATTCCGGGAACAATGGTTTTACTATTATTAAAGATTACTCTCCGATTCGCTTAACCTAACTTGACGCTGTTGTCTAAACTGTTGGATTTATAAAAAAAAAAAAAAAAAACTGTCTTTTGGATTTATGAATTTGGATGAAGTGGTTTTCCCACTTTTTCTGAAACTTTTTTTTCTCTTTTTTTTTTCTCACAAACTTTCTCCCCCGGAAACCCAAAACAACGGTATAAAGACTGTGAATTTTTGCGAAAGCCTTTTTCCACGTTAAATTCCAATTCGCGTAATAGCAATTCGGCGACTTCGAGTCTCCATATAACATCGCTTTCACCTATCTAAGAGCCATCCGCAAGCGTTTCAGTTTGTCCGATTTTCTCTAAATTCATCGACCCGTCAAATCCAACAGCCGTATATGAAAAAGGTTTCCCCAGCAACAACGTCGTGTAATACGAAGCCTCGAGCCAGCACGACACAAGCTGCGTTTCCACGTACGATATGCATACATTGTAGACGCAAATATTTTCGCAGGCTCCGCTCAAACAGAGATGACCGTGAATAACGATTAATAACGTAAAGGTCATTGTTATTGGCCTTCGATACTCTGCAATTCCTCTCTGTATACCGTATGCGACCCGCCCTCATACACTGGATAAGCGCAAACATACGAGCAAATATTGTCACACGAGTCTGCTCTCTATGAGTGTGCCTGTAAAAAGTGCAACGCCGACTTATCGGTAAACTCTCCGCTGTGATCCACGACTCGTGGATTTTAACACAGTATACAACAGATTCAAGGTACTGCTTTATTGCCGCACTGTACCCTGAATAGCTGTTTCCCATAGCCTTACGACACTTTTAGGCTCCTCCGTCAAGAAAAGCTCCTCTTCGCTCGCTTTAACCTTCGATACTTCTATAAAGTCTATAAGAAAAAACCCCATTAGGATAGCCAGGCTAATATGCTTTAAGAAGCATGTGCAGCGGTGGGCACTGCTATTCGTGTCGCTGGTGCTAACGGCAATGCCTGCTTGTCGCGGCACAGCAGCAGGGCTGATGCTATTGGTCCAGGCTCCCTTTTATCCGTGCATATCCTGTCGTAGCCACGTGCATCGTACATTACGCGTACACACTCCTGTACACGTGCAAATCGACAGACAACCTGGCTGACGATGTAGCCGAGTTAGTGTGTACCATATTGGGAAACTCGGTGCAGTCTGAAAGTGTACAAATAGAGTGAGTGAAGGGGTAGTAGACCGCAGTCTGGCTCAACTTGCACGGCTGCACGGTAAATTGTAATATGCCTGCATCGTGATGACTCCACTCAGCACTTCTCCCCTCTCTCTCTCTCTCTCTCTCTCTCTCTCTCTCTCTCTCTCTCCCCAGTACTCCCTTTTCCTCATCATCTGGCCTCGCCTCGTTTATTAGAGGACCGAGCCAACGCCATCTGGATTTACGTATTATTATGCATCGCTGGAGGCGACGCGAAGCAACACCGAGAGTTTTTCAATGGCTGACTGGCACTCGGGCCAGGGGGTAGTACAGGGTTGACTAGTGTGGGAGCCGTGCCAGACGGATACACAATGGGGTGTGCGCTGAGCCACAGGACGGAACGCAAGAGAAAAAATTCTCGAAGCCTTCTTAAGTTTCTGCGAAGCGGAAGTTATATTTATGCGGGAGATTTGCTACCGATTATTTATGAGGAACATTGGCATTGGGACAAGGCATATATTTAGGGAGATATTACTTTTTTCTTTTTCTTTCTTATTTCTTTTCCATCTTCGCTCCTTAGGCTTTCTTCGCCTTGAGTCTGCGCACGCTCGCACGCACACCTTCTGCGACGTGGCTCTTGATCAAAATGAATGGTTCTGCGCAACCCTCGCCTAATGGGATTGTCGAATGACGGGGATCTTGTATACCTCTAATCCAATGGAGAACAAAAGACTTTTACCTAGACTTCTTGCGAATGGAACAGTGATAAAATTCCTTTGCGCTATAAATTTTAACTAGTACCTTAATCCGAGCATACGTGTATCGTTGCGACTGTTAAATTGCGTTAATCACATTTTTCAGTATTCACTTCACAAAAATCATTTGCACAACCGTTAACTCATTTCAAATGGATTCACTAACGTCGATCGGATTATGCTAATAGGATATCAAATTTGTATCAATAATCCCGAACCCACAGGTACTGGGAATGTATCATATTTCCAAGAGTATTAGAACCGGTACCAGGCTGGTCCTCTGAAAATTACCAAAGCACATTCTCTCTCTCTCTCTCTCTCTCTCTCTCTCTCTCTCTCTCTCTCCCAGTTGTTCGTAACTAGTTCGAGGAGTAACACGATTGTTGGCAGGAGCCAAGACCCATTCCCTTTGCTTTTTCGAAAATCCCCGGTCCCCCCTTGACCTCGACGAGGCCCAACGAGGAATATCCGAAAGTTGTATTCACGGCCCAAATGACTGCCCTCGTAAAGTACTATCGTAATGTATATACATACATAACACATAATGCAGCACATTGAGTGGTGAAGAAAGAGAGAGAGCGAGAGAAAACAGCGTGAACGATAAGGATAGACAAGGAGTAGGACGCAGTGGGGACAAACCGTTGACGATGGTGGGAAATCGTATACAGTTCTCCAGGACGGTGAAGTAGGAGTAAGAGATGTAGCGAAGTGAGGGCCGTTCTCCGTGCGCTACGCCCCAGTTTGTATGGCGGGCGCAACCACAGCTGGACCGTGAAAGCACAGAGCCTATTTTATCTGAAAAGCACAGAGATATATGACATGGAGTTTTTCTCTAGAAAATAATGAAGAAAGCATTTCCTCGGCCAGGCTGCTTTTTCTTCGAATTCTCATGACCGAGAAGACTGTACAGCGACAGGTATATCCCAGTTCTGTGGATAGGATACATAGAGAGTGGCAGGTACAAGTAAAAATCTTTTTAAAAAATTGTAAGGGTGAAACGCTTTGAAGATTTCTTGTGAAAATATATGTATATCTTTGTTATTAAACTCGCGAGCGATTCAGTGCAAACTTGGAGCAAGGATGATAGCAGCGAAGATCATTCGTGTCAGCCTAGGGCATTTAGTCAGTTTGAACGATCGAGCGGACAATCGCTCACTGTTCTGACGTAACCGTGCGAATTAATTCAGTTCAGGCGCCTGGCTCGTGCCACTACTAACTTGAGAAAGTTACGTGACCTGTATCAAGTGCCTCTGCGCACGGTGTGTAGGTAGAAAATTGTTTAACGGATGTTGCCGGGATTAGGGCAGCGGTCAACGCATGACCGACCTGGGAAGGATCAGAGCGGCTGCGAAACCTTAGTACCGGTTTAGCGTTTGGCTCTACCTATTTCCGGCTAATCGATAGATTTGGGCCCAGTTTATGTGGTCAGTGGTCAGTGCCGGAGCGTCGAGGGACATTCGAAGCGAGAGACTGTGGATTGGAGCGATTTCTTTGTGAGAGATATCACTGCCGTGGACACGAATTTGACATTGAACTTAACTGCTGTTGGAATAAGAATTGTGTCGGTGACACACGGACATGGGTTAACGGCGAATTCCTTGGCAGTGTCCGAGCACCTGTGATTAATCATACTCGAATTACTGTTCGCATACGATCTTTGTAAAAGCGCGCCAGCAGCTAATTTACTATTAATAGGCGAACGAGAGCTCGTGCTGTCGATAATGACCATTTTAACGTGCGCTAAATCGCAAGGTCGACATATAATGAAAATGAAGGTTGTGCATTATGATGTTAAAATTGACGTCGTTAGCAATCGCCGTGTTACGAAAAGAGGCGTTTGGCACGTTCTCTGAATATCGCGTGGAAACACGCGTCCTCGCTGGCTTTGAATTCACAGAGGTGACTCTACTATATTCGACTTTAAGGCTGCGCGAGCGGGATCGAGTCTGCTTAACGAGGCGGTTATTAAGTGACTAAGTTTTCCGCGGAAGGGAAAGTCGAGAAATCGAAATCGAGCGGGAGCGACGTGATGCTTGAAAGTGTCCAAGGGAATTGAAGTAGCTACGAAAAGAGGTATGGAGGGTATATCTATACGCACGAGTACCCAGCATAGGGATTGTAAAAATAAATTATCAACGATCTACAGCGACACTAGGGTTATTCAAAGAAAAGCACGCGACTACGTCTGATACATAGTATTGTGTACGCCGCTTTATCGGTTATTTATATTAGCGTGAAGAACGAACAGAATCCACGTTCGTTAGTGCAACGCACGAAAGAATTCTTAGAAAGCATATTCCTCGATAACGTGAAAGGTAAAATTTAATTTCAAGCGAAACCAAACAACTAGATTTTCAGGGCCATTCCTAATAGGAAAGAGTTCAAGGAGACCCTTTTACCTCGGACCTCTTACCTTTCTTCCGCCCTTATCTCAAATTTAACGATTACGGAATCATTATAGAAACAAGCGAAGCGGCTCGCAATACCTCAACTCTGTTTATCCACCTCCACACACTGGTAAAATCGAGGTCCAAGCTCCGGCTACAATGCGTGTCGATTCGCTAACTGTATTTCGGTGGCAACCTCGATACCAACCAACACGACCCACCGTCTCCAACTCTCGCCCGATCCCGGAATAAATAACATTCGTGATTCCGGAGTATCGTCGATTCCCCCTCCTGAATAAACTTAACGACCCTACATCCACCCACACGACCTCTCCGCAGATACTTTCCCCAGGAATTCTACCATGAGGACAGGACATCATCGTCGCTGCCCTCGCTTCACCATTTCCTGTGCTCGCACCCGCCGGCCCTGCAAACGGAGCCATCAGTCGTCGCGCTCGTCCGCACGAGGTCGAGTCAATTCGTAGTAGGGGAATCTCCTCGTCGAGTGGGCCGAAGTCCTCCGGAGATTGTCGAAGGGAGCGCTCGAGCTTGCGGAAACGCACGAGCGTCCGAGTGGTGGGGAGAAAATACTGTTCAGTCCTGCGGCTCAGTCGAGCTAGCATCGAGGTCGGAGACGGAATTGAGACCGGTGATCGGATTCGGCGACAGTTGCGTCCGAGCCGCTTAGCGCACACGACAGTTGACGGTGGCAAGCTGCCGTAGTGAGGTCGAGCCCCCACGCTGCACCGTCTCTTCCTTTCTCTATTTTCCTCGCTCTCCCCGACTCTTCTTCATCATCCTTTATCTAACCCTCCGTTTGTGCACCCTGACACTCTCAGCTCGTACCTGGTACTCCAGCTCATTGTCGAATCCATCCTCTGGCTATCGTATACGATCCCACCTCCTACATCTGAACTCCCCTCAGGGCTCGTATGTCGCTAAACACCGTCAGCATAACGTGACAGTAAACACGCGCGAGTGACAGTGCTTTATTCAAACGAAGCAATCCGAATTAACCGGTCACTGCGATAGAGGTTATTATTCGGCGAACGTACAAGATCTACGAGATTATTCCCAGAAAGCACAGTGCTGTGTGATGACACGCTCGTATTATCATAATTACGGAATACGTGTGCATGTGTCCAGTGGGGTTTAACATCAAGTTGTTCGCCAATCTGGATACCTTACCGACCACGATATCTGGATTATCTCATGACAGGATGGCGCTGGCGCGGTAGGTACACCCAAACATCAGTCTTCGGAGTACCTTGATATATTTCTGATCGTCCTACGATTATTTTGGGCCCTATACGGAGGCCACTCCCGACATAGATACACTGTTCTCGATAATTTAACTGTAGATTACCTTATGTCTGACGTTTATCGTCGCAGTATGCCTATTGAATCTTTTCTCATATGCAGTGATTCTAATTCTTAATCCGATCAACTTTAATTTGTTTTCTTTGTTTCGCTGTAACGTATACGACAAAGCCTCAGCCTAGTCCGTATAAGGTCACCGAGCTACAAAGGTCGTTGTATCGACTCTCCGCCTGCACCGGAGCACCGGCCATTGTCCACCTGTCAGAAACGGTCCGCGATACAAAAGCATTCTTTCCAACCATAGAAAATTAATCGTGGCTTCGTACGAGGCTGAAACGTTCCGACCGTGCTACAACTATCCTAACGAGAATACACGCTCCAGATTTCTAATTTCGTTTAACAGTTTACGGCCGGTCACCGGCCCGTTTACACGGCCCACAATACCAATCTAGAATCAAAGCCACTGATAAAACCAGCCTATAAGATCATTTTTAGAATGTACACGTATATACCGTCCAACCTAATGGCCCCACTGTAAAATCAACTTTAGAAAAGTACATACCTAAACTATCCTCAAAATTCCTATCGAATACTCGCCCGTACAAATATTCTTCTTGAAAAGTGTCCGTCCTCGTTTATCCCTCAAAGCCAGCTGGCAGCTTTCCCAAGCAGTCCAGAAAAATTCGGTACTTTTGAAGATTCTTTGTTCCGTCCCTCTCTTAACAGGCAACGGGTCCTTTGTGTTATATACTTGGGATCGACCGCGTTCGTTGAAAAGGAGGAATGATTCTGACGGATAACCAAAAAGAGCCAGCATCCACTACGACTCGTTAAAAATTTGCAATTTTTCTTGAATTTCAAAATAAAGACACCCGCTCTTGCTCACAAAAATTCCAAATTACAATCCAGTCGATGAATCGTCATCGTACGTGGCTCTTTCATTTATTCACTTCATGGAATACTCAATTTCCATAGTCCTGCAATAATTTCTGCCTGTTCCGAAACGCATAACCAAACCGATACGATGAATCACTCTGCGGGATTGCATGGGAAACAGGCTACTTCGGTTGACCCAGCGTAATTCATGAGTGTGATTCGTGGCAATCGTCATACGAGCATAGGCGCACACGTACGGAACAAAGAATGAGGAGAGTGCCGTATAATGAGTAAGAGGCAAATATCTCAAAGGACATCGTGTTCGAACGATCGCGTATAGGAAAAGATTGAAAACGTCACAATTAGTTTACGACTGATACGGTATAAACGAAACGTATTGTCGTTCGTTGCGAACGGTAATAAAATTTCACGATAAAATTCAATCGCGCGTTATTATCGGGCTGGTACGCCATTAGGACGTTACACGCGAAATATTAAATTGTGTATCGGGAGCTAAGACGAATTAATCCAAATAATTTATTCGTTTCCAAATTAAATCGTCGACTCTCTTTGTTTCCCCCTCGGAACAGATCCCTCTCAAGCTCGTATTCTCGGATATTTCGTCCAACCGTTCGAAATCCGTTATTTTTCATAGCGGTATATTCTTAGCATTTTTTCTCATCCTCCTACTCGTCGTTCTGGTTCTGTTTTCTTCGGCGCCCGAACGATTACGCTGCGTTTGCGCACTATGCCACATTCACTCCTATGGAAGCCGCACGACCTTCGGTTCTCACAGCTAAGACATATGTGAAGTAGGTAGCCAGCTGTCGCCTGTAGGTATTTAAGAGCAAGGGTGAATTTCGTCTCGGTCTTTTAATACGTATATGAAATATTTCGTATCTTCTAATTGTTTGACATTTCATTTAATCGATGCCAGCTGTCTAGTCACCGTGAAATGGATTGTCGGACTTGAAACTGGTCATGTGTAACGTCGAATCCCATTGCTTCCGGTGTCAGACGAAAAGTCCACGTTTACTCGTTACGAATAATAGGAAGGACTGTTCTCCATAGGCGTTCTAACAGTCTCGCTAAATTTCTCTTCGCACGCAAACAAAAAAACATTATTACTCAAAGTGGCTCACTCGTCGAAATCCTCAGTTGAATTTCCCGCCGTAGCTACTGCAGTCCTTCGATAACGTGGATCGACTTTCGACTTTAATATCGGATCATCCGGAGAACTCCTCCGGGTCGGGATTTATCGAATGTTCAAGAGATATTTTCAATCTTTCTTATTCCTTCTGTAAAAGGGTTCGTCTTCCCTCTCTGTTTTTTCTTCCATTTAAACTCAAGCGATTCCAAGGCGCTGCTCCTTCCTCCTATCTAACGTAAGTCGCACAAACATCCTGCAGTCCTACGGCAGCCGCGAACACTCGAAAAGGCTGTTTGTTACGCGCGCATCGAAGCCACTCGAGAAACGTCTCTCCGATATTCCCTTTGGTATCTCGATCTTTGAAGATGAACGCGTGGCGGAGCAGAACGAAAAATTAAAATGTGTATGTCTGGCAAAAGTCTTTGCAGAAAGGACTTCTCTAAGACAAAAAAAAAGTGCTTACGATTCGAGTACTCGTCTCGGCAAGAACAAACCTTATACCTCCCTGGAGCGAAGGGGACACTTTCTGTTCGGATACAAAGAGACGGTATTGCCAATTATTTACAAGACTGTAAGGACTCGCCGATATAATAGCGCCTCGGAGAATACTGATTAAGCGATACGTATACACGTATTTCTTTCCATACGTTTGCAGTAATGTTTTGACTCGCTCCCATTCGCGCCGTTGCGAGTCTTGTTTATCGTACTGGGAATCGTTGCCGATTGGCACAAAGAAAACAGCACGGTATATTCCCGTCGGTAAAACAGTTTCGTCATACGGGTATCACGTATCGCGTTATATTTTGTATATTCACGATGGTATTTTGCCGATACATCGCTGTTTCTGCATTTATCGCGTAACCGTTCGGCTTGTGCAAAATTTACACACACGTTGCAAAATTACGTACATGCACACTCTTTTCGGGCATTTGAAATTATACCTGCTCCACTTAAAAGTGCCATAACACTCTTTCCAATCCCGTAAGGTGTACGACGTAGGAGGAATCGGCAAAGCGAGTACCTGGTACGGATGATTGATAAACGCATCGTCGATTACTAGAATGATCATCGATTTGATTTCTATAGCTCTGAGTGCATTGTGTACAGTATGCACTCGGCGTTCGAAACGTCTGCTTTCATTCTCCTCTCGATCTCGAACTGCCATTATTCCCTGCTGAATGGAGGCCTTTGTCACAGTGCGGGTATCGTGCTAGCAAACACTTTTAATTAATTGGATCGTCCCTGTGTGCTTCTCGGCGCGGCGTTAATTGTCCGGACGTGTGTGTCGCTGTGCTCGTCACGATAATACGTTGGAAGGAGTACATGTCCAAGAGGATGGATTGATAGAGCGATGACGAGTTCCTAATTATAATACCGAAATCATGGGGACAGCGTTGCCTGGTTTTCGCGTCGTTCCGTAGGTCATATCAATATATGTATACACAGTGCGTGAATTATTTTCGTTCTGACCAACTCACTTCTACCGTCCTGAAATACGATTACGAAGTGGCGTTTAATTATAATAAACTATATGCCATCCAGGGTGACGAGCGAATAATTATTTCTCTCGCGTGGCCGAAGGCTCTGCATGTTTTACTTGGAGTTGAAAGTTATTTATGTTTTCTCAATTGATATCCATTGGCACGTACGCTCACGTGCGGCTCTGACGATTTTTGGAAATTTTTATCTCGATCGCCTCGCTGTCAAGCGGAAATATTTATATGGCGAAAGTGGGATGTACACGCTGCACGTGTGCCATTCTGTACGTATACGATTTGTCCTTTATGTGTATACTCTTTTATATATAGCTGCCAGCAGACGTATCGCAGTGCTCGATGCGTGACTTAGTGGACGATGAACGGAATTATCATGGAGAACGTCGAAGCTAACAGATCCTCCTCTTTCTGCTCCTCCTTTTCCATCCTCCCGCCGTGCACTCGGCGAAATGAAATGAGCCGAGCACAAAGGAAGGAAGGAAGGTCGGGTGTCCTCACTGCGTGGCAACCTTCGTTTCAAGGGTACAGGGCCGTCCGTCCGGTCTCCCTCTCGATCTCCCTTCCTTTCTCCTCCTGTCCCTCAGTCCTCTCTACCTACCCCTCTTTACGTTAATGGCTTTGGAATTTCTCGAAATTCAAAACCCACGTTCTTGCCAGTGTAGTCGTCCCACTCTCCCCTTCTTCCTCGAATGGGACGTCGTTTTAGCTGCCCGATCGTAAAGGTCGAAAAAATTTATACAGGCAGATGCCATATTCCTTTCCTTCTCAAATCTGTTCTTTCATTCCACCCTGCGTTGTATTCCAAACTTTCACGAATATATCTATACTCGTTCTACGCCATGCTGCTAACTTTGTCACTCTTTATCCGTAGCAACGGTCGTCTTCTGTAATACGGAATACAGATTGAAAAATCCATTCTATACTTTCGCTTGATTTACGATTAATGGATGACGGGCGAGACCTCGAAGGATACAGCACTTGGTATTACTGGCGGAAGGGTCCTATTTACCCGGACGATTAACTGTCCCACGAATATCGATCTCGTCTCGAGTTCAAAGACAGAGAGCCGTATGCAGCGGAGACTCAATCCCACGTCGCTCTCGAAGCTCTTGGCTCGTCATGAATATTTTCCGTCCATAATCCCGTTCTGCCCTCCTCAGCTACGTCCACATGGGAATATATTTTTGCCGGGGCTCAATGTTATTCTTCCAAGGGAGGAGATGGGAACGCCAATTCCCTCGTTCCCTCTCTTGCGGGCTGGTCTTGGGTTGGTCTTGCAGGGCCAGTGCCCTGGGACGTGGGATACCGGACGACCTTGGCTCTCATGGCCAATTTGCGAGGTCCAGTACGCGGTGGCCCTACGACCGTCTTATTAGCTCAATCTGTACCGGGAACGATCTTTTTCTTTTTTTCCTCGTCCATTCGCTAAGGTTCTTCCAATTAGGCAGCCACGATGTATCGGCAACTTCCTTTCCCTGGGATACGAAGCTCCGTGGAGCGCTTAACACGCGACACCAGGAGCAAATGACTGTCGCTGGTATAGGCTTAATGGCTCAAACTTCCCACAGAGAAGGGACGCGCACGGTTGCTTATGAAAAATCGTAGCAAGGGCGAAAAGCACTAGGTGGTCCGTAGTGTTATGGTAATCATCAATGTTTTACCCCGTACGAGGGATATATTCTCACATTGGGTTCCCATTGGTTCATCCCTAGTCCCTATGGGTATATATTCGTAATACAAATGGAGCTATACCGACGCAAGGGACACGACGTACATTTTACGTAAGGAGTTCACGCACACGTGTGATATTCTCATCCCTCCTCCTAGCCGCCGCCTCCCCCCCCCCCCC